TCTTTTCTTTTACAATCCTCACCAGTCCTGCCACCAATCCTTAATTGCTCCTATTTGTCAGTTTCAGCCATTCACACTCTGGCATTTCCAACTGTCACCACACAGCTGGTCCTCAGGTAATCAAAACGCTACACCACTTGGCTTGAACTAAATGAGGTAACTTTTACTGCAGAAACGGAGTAAAATGTAATTTTATTCCTAAACATAATTTAATTAACCTGGTCGATGATGAGAATGCTGTAGATATATCTTGACTTCAACAAAGTTTTTGACAAAGTGCCCCATGATATTCTGATTAGCAAGTAACTAGGTATGTGCTGTATGGCAGTGGTCCCCCCTTTTTGACACTGTGGACTGGTTGGGGGAGGACAGGGTCTGTGTGCAGGGAAGGCAGGGCACACACACACCCGTGGTCATGCACATGCACAAAGGGGCAGGGGTGCTCGCAGGGGCACGTGTGCATGCATGAAGGAGCTGTGAGGGGATGTGTATGTGTGAGGGTGGGCGGAAGATCTGTCTCTGTGGCCCAGTCTGGCCCAGGCCATGGACCGGCACTGGGCTGCGGACCGGGGGTTGGGGACACCTGCAGTATAGAACAACAGTCAGGTGGATACACAGTCTGCATAGAACAACAGTCAGGTGGATACACAGTGGATTACAGAATCATACTAAAAGAGTGCTTATCAATGTGTCCTTCTCAAACTGGGAGGAGATAACAAGCAGGAAGCCCCAAGGCTCAGTAGTTTTTATTAATGACTTGAATGAGGGGGCTCAGGGAATGCTTATCATAGGATAACAAGCAGGAAGCCCCAAGGCTCCGTAGTTTTTATTAATGACTTCAATGAGGGGGCTCAGGGAATGCTTATCATATTTGTGGATCACACAAAATTGGGTGGAATAGCTAATACCCAAAAGACAGAAACAAAATTCAAAAATATTTTGATATGCTCAGCACTGCCCAAAAAACAACAGAATGGAATTTAAGAGGTTTAAGTGCAACTCTGTCTGTGCTCTGTTGCAGTTTGTGATAAGTGCAAATCTGTCTGTGCTCTGTTGCAGTTTGTTGGATAGTTGAGTATTTATATTTGTGGGATCAGCACAGACAGAGTTCTGACTCCTGTCCTCTGAAGATGCCGGCCACAGAGACTGGCGAAATGCTAGGAAGAAAACCCCCCTTAAGACGGTCAAACAGCCCAGAAAACCCACAACAACCATCAGATCCCGCTTGTGAAAGCCTTCGAGAGTACATAAAATTACCAATCATGAGGTAAAATGACAGTTTCAGGCTTTAATCTTATACACATTCACTTAGAAATAAGTCCAACTGAATAAAGTGGAATTACATTTTTAGCAAATTCGCAGAAGATTCTACTAGGATGGGATTTTTGGATTACAAATCTCCTAATGCTAGGCCAAACTTCACAAGATTCCTGTTCCTGCACCTGTGCTACCTGGGAATCTTCTTTCTCAACAAGAAACACATAGCTAAGCCTCAAAGGTTCCCAGTTGGGGCCTTTCTCTCAGGTGAGCCACATTTAGGTATCATTTACGTATCAGGTGTCTATCTGACAGGTAGAACTCTCAGAATGAAGCATTATTGTAATCCAAGAAATCAAAAAATCCCATTCCTAGATTCTGCTGAGTCTCCAAATTCTAAATTTAGTACCCTCTACATGTGTACCGTGTGAAACCAATGAATTCAAGTTAATATCAGCACACTTCTACTGTCCTGCTATGCTATAGCAAATACAATTATGTAGGGCAAATTGCGTAAAGGCTGCATGATCAAAGTTTTAAGACTATCCCAGCATATATAGAAGCTAGAAGCTCTCTTTAGTTGTTGCCCAATATTTTTAGCTGTAAATATACTTGTTTAGGGAAGGCATACATTATAAAAGAAGGGAACATTGACTCACAATGATGTGAACCTGCCTTTTACACTGCAATTTGAAACGATCCACCCTTATACAGTACTTGCAGATAGCCTCTTGCACTCTGAGGATATGAGTGACTGAGCACAAGTTTTTCCCCTTCAATTTTTCTCTGTCAAAAACAAAAAAATCAGTAATCCTCACCAAATATACTGCATTGCAGAAAAGGGAAGCAAACTAAAAGCAATAAAGTCTAAAAACCCAAAGTACTAAAGATGTCTGCATTTCACAACCATGAGCCTAGTTTATGACTACAATTCAGAACTCAGTTACTAGGGATTAAATCCAAGCAAACACACTGGAACAGATGCCCAAGTAAACAAGTTTAGACTTGGCCTCAAACGCAAATAGGTTCTAGAAAATACTGGTTCATCAGCCATATTTTCAGGTTAAATTAAATTAATAACTACAATTAACACTCAATATTACTCCCAATATCAACTTTTTAAAAACAGTATTACTGCTGGTTTTAGTAATTCGAGGAAAAATGATTGAATTCTGTGCTCATGCATATCAATTTATATACACCAAGGACTTGAATAATCTTAATTATTTTATCACATGGATTTGTTGATATTCAGTTCTGCTCTCAGGAAGCAGAATATCAAAAGGCAGGTTGCCTTTAAAGGCCCTTGCCAGCTCAACAACATGTGCCCAAATAGTTTCTGATTTGGGGTCATGTATTTACCCTTTAGTCCCAGTCTTATGTCTGAGGAAGTGGGTTTGTCTTTTGTTTTTGTTTGGTATGCTAGCACAGACTAGCATGGCAACCTATTCTAAAACATATAAAGATTATACTCTTATTTAGTAAGGAGCAACTTCAAAGTATCTTCAAATATAATATTTGAATACTTAAATATACCCTCAAAACAAAAGAATTAAATGCAATATATTTATTTATTTATTGTATTTATATCCCCGCCTATCTAGTCGAACAACCAGACATATAAGAGTAACACTATCACACTGATAGTCTACATCAGGGCAGATTTGATTTAGATCAAATTAATTTAAATGATGATTTAAATCCAAATAATTGGATTTTTTTTGAGTTTTAATTAAAATTTGATTTTTTAAAAATTTAAATCATTTAATCATGATTTTAAAAATTCATTGCTTTTTATCCACTCATCTTGAAATACAAATATTTATTGATTTTTATTTATTTATTTATTTGATTTATATCCTGCTCCCACTAGTGCTGAAACACTACTCTGGGCAGTTAAAACAAATATAATAAAAATTAAAAATAAAGATAAAAGCATTAAAAGCAATGTTATAAATAACCCTTAAAAACAGATAGCACAGACCAATAATATAAAATACAGAGCAGATGGAGGAAAGGGGGCAGGGAGAAGATCTACTGGGGTCAGTTTCAAAAGCTTCCCTGAAAAACTACGTCTTTAGTTCCCTCCTAAATATCAACAGGGATGGGGCTAGGCACAACTCCTCTGGAAGCTGGTTCCATAAGGTTGGAGCCACCATGAAGAAGGCCCTACCTCTTGTAGAAGACTTATGGACTCTCCTGGCAGTGGCCTCCTGGAAGAGCCTCAATGAAATGATCTTGCGGGTCAGGCAGGTAACATTAACAAAAGATGCTCTGACAAGCAACATTGGCATATGCAGAGGATTCTGCTCTGGCAATCTACTGAACTATATAATACAAATATTCCTATGTCTCCAAACAATTTTCTTCAAGTATGATTTTTCATTAATGGTGCTACATATGAGAATTAGTATTTTCCACAATGTTATTTTTTTGCTTGTTTCCTGAATTGCATCGTTGCTTCCTAGAATTATCACTACAATTCAGTTTTCTATTAGTGCACACACACTAGCTTGAAAGTCACCTGTAAGGAATTCCAAGTTACATGAAATTTTAAAAAGCACACAGACCTTTTGGAAAAACTGCAAGAACCAGTAGGGCCTAATATCTATTCTAGTGTGTTGAATGCAAACATGTGTAAGAAGAGTTTAACAGATTCTATTCAAATGATAAAAAGCTTGGGGTCAATGAAACCTGGCAAAGCAAGAACAAGAAAAGGGTTGCCTAAGCCTTTCCTGACCATTAACCCACTTTAAAAAAGGCAATCCCCTGTATTTTTTTAAAGTACACCTCAGCTCAGTGATGCTTACTCTCAAGGGAAGATGTAACTTTCTCCCTACACTTCCTGAATCAACATCTTTTTCATTTCAAAAGCAAGCTCTGATTAACTGATAGTCACTCTAGCAATTACCAGGATGCTTAATTAATCAACACTTCCATCCTCCATTTCTGTTAATAACACTACTGCCTCTTTGAAATCCAATGTGCCCCCACCTGCAATGTCTACTTTTATATAGATGTATGGCAAAATATGTCTGAAGAAATATTTATCTATGAAAGTTTTCATTGAAATAAATCTGTTAGGCCTTCAAGCACCATAATATTTTGCCCATTGTTCTCGTTTACTTTTCGCTTTAATTTTTACCAAAATGCTGAATCATGCCTATTTCTTCTGAAACTGAAATAAATTTGTTAATCTTCATGGTAGCATATTTTCATTTTGCTTATTTTTGTTATACATGCTCTTCCCCTACATGTGGTTTTAAACCATAGGGAGAAGAGCCACCCAAGTAGAGATCTAGGGCATCCCTTTCTCTTTGTATCTGAATTTTCAAGTACTTCAACACAAAACATTGTCATTTAGAACAGCTTGTGGGGCAACCAGTTGTTACTACTGGCATGTTCCTTATTGCTCTTTCCTGCTTAATCAGTGCTGATACAATATTCTCACATAATACCATCTCCAGTGGTGAAGATGAAGGAGGATGAGGAGAAAGGAGGAGGAGACTTAATCCTGAGGCTTGAAAGAGTCCAACTCTACTAAGGATGCTATTTAATCTTTTGAATTCACCTTGCTAATAATGTAGTTAGGCAATCTCCACTGACAAGAATATGCATTTACTGTAAATCAAATCCAGCTTTCTTTCGTGTATTAATATCCTCTACAAGTAAGGTCTTTGAGATGAAAAACGGCACCCTTTCTGACAGCACCCCAGGAGCTACTTCTCGTAAGAGCCACTCACAGAGAAGACTGCGTTTTGGAGCCCGAAAGGTATAGGGGTGAGCCTGGCCAGGGCCACCACCTTGAGGCCGCTTCTTCCCTCCACCACGCGAATGACAGCGCTGAGCTTCTCGCTGCCCTGAATCCTGGCCAGCACCCATCGGGCCAGCAGCTTCTTGCAGACGACGTGGGAGATGAAGGTGCCGATGAGGACTCCCAGCACCATGAGGCCCATGCCCAGCACGAAACCGTAGAGGTAGCCGGCGGCCACGTTGAGGAGAATGTAGCCCCAGCCGCAAGGGAAAGACACCACGATGAAGCCCACCGTGAAGAGGAGCACGCCCGCCAAACTGTCCAAGCTCTCGGCCCAGAGCATCAAGTCCCGCAGGTACTGGCGCACCAAGGCGAGCGAGGCGAAGCAGAGCGCCGCCAACAAGCAGACGCTGAGGCAACTCTTGCACCAGCAGGTGCCCAGCAAGCAGCCCGAGCAGCGCCACCCGGTCCTGCCCTCGCCCAAGCCGGGCCCGGCCTCGGGCAGCTGGCACAGCAGAATCTCCACCGACGGCTCCTGGTGGGAAGGAGGCGGCGGGTAATGGTGGAGCCCATTCTGCTCCCCGAAGAGAAGCCCTTCCGAGGAGGAGGAGGAGGAGGTGCCGGCGGCTCCCGCCCCTCCGGCGCCGCCACCCAGCCGAGGCAGCCACCGGCTCAGGTCTTGCCGGGCTCCCTGGGCAAAGGCTTGCTTGGTCGCCCGCGAGAGCAGCTGCAAGGCGGCGGCCCCGGAGCTCCACATCGCCCGGCGTCTTTAAGGCGGCGAGGGGAATAACAACACCTGGAGGAGGAGGAGGAGGGGCCGCCGCAGGCAGGCCAAGGAGGTCCGACAGCTGCTTCGCCCTCTTCTCCGCTTCGCAGGCGCCAGGAGCAGCCGCTCGCTCATCGCCGCCGCCGCCGCCGCGAAGGAGAACGGCTCGAGGGAAAGTCTCCGCCAGGCCAAACTGAGGCGGCGAACCTCCCTCCCTCCTCAGCGGCCTCTGACGGGCTGAGACTCGCCCCCCCCTTCCCTACGAAGCCAGCCGCCTTCCA